GGACCCTGTCCTGGGCCAACAAAATCCAGTCTCCTTCAACTCCTATCTCCCATAGATCCCGCCTGAGATTATCCTCCCATCTACGTCTAGATCTCCCCAGAGGTCTCTTCCCCTCAGGCTTCCCAAATAGTGGACCCAACCAACCAGAGGGCTTACGGAACCCGAAGGTTCATCACCGAATTAACCAAAGCCCTCCACCGGACCCTGTCCTGAGCCAACAAAATCCAGTCTCCTTCAACTCCTATCTCCCATAGATCCCGCCTCAGATTATCCTCCCATCTACGTCTAGATCTCCCCAGCGGTCTCTTCCCTTCAGGGATTCTCAAACACCTGCAATCTGTGTTCCTCCCTCTGAGTGAGAGACCATGTTTCGCACCCATACAAAACAACATGTAAGATTATTGTTTTGTATACTTTAATTTTCAGGTTCTTATAAATCAGATGGGAAGACAAAACATTTTGAACTGAGAAGTAGCAACACCTCTCCCAGTTCTATCTGAAACTCACTACGACAATGCAGTTAAGCTAAAAAAATGTACAGAAAGTTACGAGCTTTATCAGTGTTAACAAATCTGTTTGATGTTCTTTATATTACAGTTCATCTGACAGCAGATAGAACTTTTATCAATTCATTTTCTATAACGTATACCTTGAAATCCATTCCCGAACTCACTGCAGGAAACACCGATCTAGTGGTTATCTTCTAGTCTATCATTCAACAGGTCCCATGCCTGAACCAAACCGACACAAATAATCTTAAAATAAAAATTAATTTAATAAAAACAGTCAGTATAACGACAACCAATCACTGGAAGGCAATAACACAGCCAACACTCGAAAGATCATGTGGGCTTTACCTTGTATAGCCTGTTCCGGTATCCGAACGAATTTCGATTCATTTGACCGAGTCACTACGTATGTCTCCACCGCTGACGCTCCAGGTAATAGCAATTGCTGGGCTGTGGTACCTCGCTGATATGCACCAGGCATCATCACTAGGTCCATACCAGTATCTGGTTTCCATAACGACAATCGCGTGCCGGTAAGAAACTTTCCAACAAAATCACAGCTACACTTCGCGATATACAGAGTACTTACATATGAGGATTACTCATGTCCAAATCTTATCTGTTTTCAGGCTATGAGATTTGAGGTTCTTGTTGGGTTGTTGAGTGGTGTAGTCTTGCAGGAATTACTTACGTTTCAGATATGCCTGCTGCCTTCATCATCAGGGCAACTGCAATCCACAACAGCCCAGAAGACATCTTCAGCTACAATAATTTCTTATGAAGCTGTCAGCGTCATCACAAGAAAGGAGATGAATTTATTTAAAGTGTCTGGATGGCCCTCTCAGTACACTCTACTCTAACAGCCAACAACTGCTTTTTTATACACCCCTGATCATGCACCAATAATTGTCATCCTTACAGCTAGCCTTATTGACGTTTAAAAATAAGTATGTTATTTGTATTTTAAATTCCGACCGCCTGCCACAACAGGTTATCGGCAGTTTCTTTGACGTCTAACTAAGGCTAGGATTTGCCCCATTTCGCCATAAGTAGCCGAAACAGTCGCTACGTTTCATATCTGATAAGTCTGTCCTAGACAAAGGAACAACTTCACGCCCTGAACGACGAAACCAATGGCGATATCGATTTCTTGCAGTCGCATTCCATTGATGCATCGATTTAAATCGATACGGCCGTAACTTCAGCTGTTTTGTCGCCTGACGAGCGCTTGTCAGACACAGACACTTTCGTGTCCCAAAAATTTGTTACCAGCCAGTGTAAGGCTGTCTTATTCGCTACTTCCTTGTATTGCCAAATCTTTCACGAACAGCAGCAGATGATTTCGACGCGAAGCGATGTTCGAGAATGCACACGCGTTCTATTAGTACCTGAACAGCTTCTGCGCAATTGGACTGCGCAGCCGTCTCACAAGAAATGACCTTGAGTCGTGTCACGAGGGAGGTTGTGAGCGTTTATAACACGGGATTACACCTAATCCGGATTTTATTTTGCACTGTAAAATGTAACCCCTTTTTTGGTTGCGTTTTCAATGGTACATTCTGTTTCTAGGGGTCTACACCAGCCTGGAATTATTTTTAAATAGGTCTGCGTTCCTTGTAATTTTACATCTATCGTTGGTACTGATGTTCATTTATTGCAGATAAAGATTATTTATGTAAATAGAATCAAGGTATTGAGAAAAATTCTGAATGTCCTTGGCAATAGTCTTATATATTACTCAATTGAATAAAAATTTTCTTGGATATTATCCATCGTCTAGTAAATATAAAACGTAAAACGACGTTTCGGAGATGGGACTCTATCTCCGTCTTCAGGTACCTACACAGTTGGGCCCACTAGATAGAGCTAATCCCTATCTCCAAGAAAATTTGTATTCAATTGACTCTTCACCATCGTCAAGAAGTTTTAGATTTGTTATATATTACTGCTTTATAAGTCTTTTAAAAAAACTTTTTTAAAAAACAGACGTAGATATAACGCAAAATATTTAAAGTAGTAAATTAAGAAATGATTTTGAAGACCCTCGTGTATAGTGGAGAATAATATTAAAATGTAATTTAAAAATGTGGTAGGATATTCCGAATTAAATTGAATTGAATTAATCTGACTCAGAATAGGGAATACCATAATTAACTTCCAGGTCCCATAAAAGGCAAGAAATTTATTGACTTGGTGAGTACCAACTTCTAAAACAGGGCTCTTATACAGGGAGATATTTAGGCATAAATATTATATACCTTAATGTGACCTACAAGCTTTTTGCGTTGAATAATTTGATATTGATATAAAATATGATTTTTATTCAATCAACATAACTTAATAACGTTCAGGAATATTAAGCACAGACCTTAAAAACCAAATTTCATTCATAAAAATGACCGAGGCATTCTGCGTTCATTTTATACGCTTTGTGAAACAACGCGAAAATGAGCGATGGTTGAAATCCTCACCTGTTGTGACTTGACTGGGCGAGTCAAACAGGCCTGTAAAATTCGCACTAGCTATGAAATGACCGCGACGCCGTGCTACGTAGGCTACTTCTCCGTCTGCACTGTGTGGCGGCTCAGTCTAAACGCCAGTCATTATCAACGATGTTCTCACGTTTGAGACCATGAAGCGAGAACGGAGAATCTGCTGGCCAGTCTTAGAACTGGAACCGGGGGTTCGAAATTCGCTCGTGACATGGATGTGTACGCATGCGTCTTAGGTAAAAGACAGCCTACCGCGGTCTGATCACTCACAGAGCCGTATAGAATGTTAAGCACATTAAGCCGAACTTGTAAAGTATCTACTGACACAGAAGAAAGCAACAATCGATAAAAACTGATCCGAGAAGCTTGTAGCAACAACATTGTTCAGAAACTGACTGGGGTACATTATTACCAATTTAAAGGCGAACCTCTAAATAACCAGACTCATTACCGTGTTGATAACAACCCTCCAATCAGTCCCAGTCCGAGGCCAGATGAATCCTGTACACACTTTCCCAATCTACTCCTCAAAGATCTATTTTAATATTATCTCTTATCCATGCCTGAGTCTTCCAATAGGTCTTTTCCCTTCAAGGTTCCCAAGCAAAATGTTACTGAATTTCGCATCGCTCCCATGCGTGCTACATGATCCACTCATCTCGTAATTTTTGAATTCATCATCCTAATAAAATTTGGTTTACAAATTGTTAAGATCGACGTGAAAAATTTCTTCTCCATTATTATTATTATTATTATTATTATGCCTTAATTCGAAAATTAAATAAGCTGTAAGTTCGTGTATTTTCATTGCATATGAATCCTTCAAAACTAATATTTTTAAATTTCCTTTTAAGTATTTTCGTAAAAATTCTAACTTTAATACTGAAGAGATTTTTGATACTAGAGAAGGCAATTTCGTTATATATCAGTGTCTTATAAATTATGAGCCAAGACTTACAAGGCTAATCGCTTGAAAAGACGTCATTACAATCAATCACTATGAAAGATTCATCTCGGGTAGGACAGGGAACATTGGTGTGCTGTTGTGAACACGGTGATGGACGTTTACATTTCACAAAAGGCGAGGAACTTCCTGATCATCTGAACAACTATTAGGTTCTCAAGATTCAGTTTTATTATTATTATTATGATTTAGCTACTCTATCACTCACCACCGCCTTCTCCTGCCCAATCTCGTACTTCCTGCAGGTCCAGGTTCCGTCAAAATCACGCAGAGTATTCTCCATCAATGTGCGTGAAACTTGAATCCGACCCGTAACTTTTGATGTCCTGATCTGTGCATGACAGCGATGATCAGTCGATTTGACCGATCGTTTTCCGAGCGGTTCCGTTTTCACAACACTTTTGTTTTGTAATTCGTAAATTAGGTCTCTTTTGCGTATACGTCACGAATTTTAAAGACACATTAATCGACCAGAGTTTATTAAAATTTATTTAGAATAATACGAATTGAAATACAGTTGCTGTCTGCCATTCAATAACAACGGACACGCACCTCACACACAACCCGATATAGGCACCCAGGCGCGTCTCCAAAATTAAATGAAAGAAGCCTGGAGATGTAATAAAAACGGATAAAAACAAAAGCAATATAAGCAGAGCAACAGATACACCAGATTTTAATTTTAATTTTGATAGACCTGACGATGATAGAATTGTATATCGAAACATGTCGTCAATTTTAAAAATGTAACAATTTTATGTGATTTTAACAATAAGCTTGTGAAACGACGGAAAATAAAAGTATTGTAATGAAAATGGATGTACATATACTTAAAGTGACAGATGTCATTTAAACACTATTTTTAATAATTTTTACAATAAGATGAGATTATATCAATTACATAGCAGAGATAAAAATGTTTATAAGCCATCTAGAAATGTATCACCAATTTCTTCACTTATTTTTTAAATTTTATTAATGTATATATAATATTTTTTCTGTTAATACTGACTGGTTTGCACTGTTGACAGGGATGCAAGAGAATTTCTTGAAGTTATGGCTGTTGCTAACAACACTGCTGAAGATCATGAGATGTCGTTACTATTCTTTTTGTGGTATTTACATCAGGCACAAGGTGTGAATCATATTTGGCAGATTAAGGGTGGTGCACAGGAATGTAAAATTATTGGTGGATCTCAGCAACTTAGCATCAAGATGGCAAAAAATCTTGGAGGTATACAGTTAATTTTCATTCCTTTAGTGAGTAAAATAAAATGTTTCCTTAGTTATGGCTGATTGAAAATTGTATTTTTCATTTTTCAGATCGAATTCATCTGAAAAATGCAGTGGTACAAATAATTCACATGAACGATGGTGTGATGGTCAAAACACTGGATGGAACTGTTTTCAATGGCTCACATGTAATAATGGCTATTCCTCCATTTGCACATGTAAGTAACGTTTACAGCAGTAATTTATTTATCTGAAAATCCAGAAGCTGAGGGTGCAAATTAAGTGGGTTCCCCCCAGTGCAGGGTGTTGTTAGGACTAAAGGAGATAAAACCATCCATTAATATAGGAGACTGAATTTGTTCTCAGTATTCTAGGAGCATAAACAAGGATGTTTCTCCCATTGGAGTTACATTATGTAAACTGTAGATCATCTTGAATATATTCATGTAAAGGTATAGGTTGTTGTTGTTGTTTCTCGGCTCTACAACCCTGTTGTGGGTTTTTGTCGCCTCCTTTCCGGAGGTTTCTTGGTCTTGGTCATGAAGTAGTGAGTGACCAGCCCACTGACTCTGCACAATTTCTACTCAATCCTGATTTGACTGCCAGAGCCATCTAGCAGTTAATCAGGAGACTTGTGTGAGGAAGGTGGTCGCTGAATTTTGCTTAAGAAACATCTTGTTTTTCACGATTCCATCGGTCAGGACTTTGGCTATTTTCACAATCAATTATTTTTAGGCGGATTACATGTGTAGTTCAGTCAATACTGATTGTTTTGTAGTCACGGATCTGTTCATTAACCTCATTCATAAGTTACAGCCGATGGCCTCCCAAGGCCCACGTCATGAACCCTCGCCTGTGAATTTTTGTAGTGAGGGCTGGTGTGACTATAGGCTATTCCAACTAAGATCAGAGGCGATCAAAGCAAATTCCCCTCTCCTCCCACCCATTTTGAAACACGTGGCAGCAATGTTACTGTCTGTCCTGAAAACATCTGCTATCATTCTGATACTTTCTTTATTACTGTGATGCTCTCTGCCTATTGTATTCAAATATAATGTAATTTTATAATATACACACCAGTCACCAGGCCTCACGAACAAATAAACTCTTACTTGATAACTGTGACTTCACAAAAATTACTGTTACAAGTCATAGAACTCACGAAAGAATGTTTTCGTCATGGGTAGTCCGTTAACTGGCTGTTCAACGCGCTGTTCCAATAGATATTCACCCACCCCAAATCGTTTATACAAAAATAACTTAAGCTGCATGTATAACTGTAACATTTAACACTATTTATGTAATAAATTCTTACCAAAATGACGCTCTGCAAAGAATAATATAATTGCTAATGCATACTTTTTTAAAGAAATAACAGTAATATGAAATGACACCTGATGAGGGACAAAGTTAGGATGGGGTAAGGGACCTTCCCCTTTCGAGACTTTGTTTGTATCGTCTCTCATCTCACCTGGAACGCAGTATAATAAGAGAATTTGTTCAAGAAACGACGTTCAAAATTAGGAGAGAGGAAAAAAGTCTGGCGACGCTGGGATATCAAGGGAGTTTACTCTGATCCTAGATTCCGTCAAGGCGACACAAAGACTGATCTTGTCTTTCGATTCGGCGAAGAGCGGCTGTCAACTACAGAAATAAACTACGCTACTGTGTTAGTCGTCTGAGCGAAATGCTTTATTTACGCACGGCAAAGACGGGACTTATCACCGGAAGCCTCTATCCGAATCTACTCGCTGGCGTTCAAATATTCCCTGAAGACAAGCCTCTGTTCATCTGAGCTTGGCTCCCAAATCTCCCATCATCGCCAAAGGTACAATAGAGCCGTGCAATTCCTCGAAAGGAGAAAGGAACGGTTACTCCACGTGTCAGACAATCAAAGTACTTCAGTATCTGGGATAACAAACTAAGGACCTGTTTCGTCTTAATAATCAATCAATGAATCACTCAGATCTACAAAAGAGAATTAATTATATTATATATCAAAACACTTGACGATCTAAGAAGCACTGATAACGCGGAAACAAGCAATCTGCGTTGTTTTAACCTCACACCCACACGGCAGGTAATCGACAGTTGCTTAAGTGCATATTTAATGAGCTATAATGCAACCAGGGGTAATTCAGTCATTAAAGGCGATTCCAACTTATTAACAACAAAGTAGCAGATTGATTAATCCTACATAAACTACAGAGGTACGATAGTGGACTATTTAACCACGTGAAGGTTAATAAAGAAGGAAATGGTCGTAACCTATTATTTTCTGAGAAAGTCACGGAAAGGCCATCAGATTTCTACTCAGGCACGTCATTAATATGAAGCAGTATTCGCCACGGAAGTGCCACAGAAGTCTGAGAAACTTCATAGTTTGGCAACGAAGGGGAAATGTCAACGCCTTTTGTGGCCAACCAGCCGATGGATAAGTCCTAAGCCCCTTCAGAAGCTCATAGCCAGAGAACATATTTATTTGAGATCCATTTTAATATTATACTCTCTTTTCTAAGGCCCAAATTTACCACTAAAATTATAAGTGTGTTTCTTTCTACATGCAGAAAAATCTATCCGAGATCATATATTAATCACAAAGTTCCTCATTGTGTAATTGTCTCTATTCCCCACTTTATTCATCCCTTTTGGGTAAATTTATTTTCTATTTTCATTTTGCATTTGTAATTCGCGTTCTTCCCTAAGGACAAAAGACCACGTGTCTTAGTCATACGAAGCAGTGAATAATATAATCCTCTCTGGAAAATAGAGAAGTGGTAATGATTTAAAGAAAATAATACTAAAAATAAGATACAATGTGAAAAATGAAGAAATGATACGAAAATTAAAAAAATTAGTAATTGAATTAAGAGTTTATAACATACACCTGATGACGGCTCTATGAAAACCGAAACATGTCGAGAATGTTCCATATGTAAATCGAGTACTCGATACGGAACAAAGGATAATATTTTAACCATTTAATTATCTTATATTACTTTATTGTGATTGACGGACAATTTTAATATATTTTAATACTATTTTTAACTAAAAATAAGAAAAATAAATATTTCCTTCATTTGTTCCCTTGTTTCTTACTACCAGAATGTTATTTAGAAACTGTTACTTTATGTTCAGACGTGTTTAAATTATGAATGTTATCAAAACAGAATATGTGTTAACATATAGTGGAGTTGACTCACAAAACTTCCTCAGTTTCAGGTCATCACAGATTAGCTTTATGCTCAAGATAAGATAGCAATCAGAACGTCGCATGATACCAGACTGACAGTGTGGTGTTGCATTGCGAGAACAAAGGATTCCAGCACAGGTACGTTCGAAAACCATTTACTTTTGGCTTCATAGTATTCGGTGTGAAGGTCATCCCAGCACACTCAGACTACCATCTTATTTTACACTGTACAAAGTGGAGAGGATATTTTCTTCACAGTCTCTCTGTAAAGTGATTAAAGAGCTCCATTTCGATTCCCTGTAAGGGCAGTGGGATATTTGTTTTTATCGCCATTCATCGGCTATGATTCTTACGTATGGCGGCTGAAGAGTGAAACTCACAACTCGTCACCGTCTACAAAATCAAGGCTTTGCTCCCACTTTTAAACTGTAAGTAGACACGAATAAATCGTGCGTTGTTACTTAATAACCTAACACTGTGAATATGTAAAAATTTTACAACACTGAACGCACTTCAACTTCGTATTCCTTAATAATGTTGACTGAGGCTCTCGAGTAAGTTTCTCCCTTCTCCACTCACGGAAGTTGGCAACGCTGTTTTCATTGCAACCAACGAAGCGGAAAATTTCATAACACAGCACAATTAAGGTTACGCCTGGAACTCGCGTTCTTTCACGAGACAACTTTCATGTCAGTTTAACCATGCGCAACTATCGGAAGTTGGCAATGCTGCCTTAATTTGTTACCAACTTAGAGAAACTTCCAAATGAATCATCGACAAATAAGCCTGGATAAGGTTTTCAAAGGTATGTGGTCACACAGGCCGAGAATTCCTTGGTTTTTATTAACAAACTGCTTAAACATTATACGCGTTGACACTGAACCCCTCAATCAATCATTCGTCATAAGATTAGAGTAGTAACACTCGCGCTGGGCATATGAATCATCTCACAAGTGTACTTTTTAGTATCGTACGATCGGTTTGACAGCTACAAGAGATTGTTTTCAGTCACTCAAATTGCTGGAATTTTTTCCCGTGATCCTCTTCGATTATTTGACCTCCGCTCACCGAATTTTTTATTGACAATCGATCGATAATCGATTACTGTATCAAAGACTGTCATTATACAATAACATTATATCCAGCGACTCGGTTCTACTCTCATTAAGAATTTCGTAATTTGAGACTTGTGGTCATGAATCCTATGATCCGTTGTGGTTTTCCTCAGTTTCTTGCCGGAAATTGAGCAGGCCATAACAGACGGGTCCGTGACCAGATCCAAGGCTCGCCCGTTAATATTTTTAAGACAGATCGTTGGATCCAGGCCAGAGCAGGTGCTGCCGTCTATGCCCTAACTAACAAAAACACGTCAACATGGCTTATAGCAATAGGCTACGGGCATGTATCCAGCTCCGTCTGAAGATGACACATTTCGGTTTCTCACGCTGTGTGAGCTATTTCTTGGGTCCAATCCACACCCGCTTTGCTGCCTGTAGTTTCTGACAGCACATAAACGCAATCCTCTCATTTTCTACCGATTTAAACTGCCTGAGTTCGTTTCTCTGATTTCCACGTAAACGAATTCAGGATATCTGATGTAATTCTGAAGGGTTAATGCAATTATCTCGTATCATGACGTAACGCTGGATATTTCCCAGTGTCTGAAGTTTTGATAATGTCTGCAACCTTTCGGAGTCTGGTTCTGTGTCCATCTTCATGTAAACCAACAACAACAAACAACAGCCAACCGCTCAGTCCGGCCCGTCCTTATTATTGTCCAAACAACAATAAATATATCTGGGATGCTGAGCCGCGTATCCCTTTAGACAATCATCTTCACTCGTCACCGTGAAACCTGAAATTTCACCTAGGACTGCATATCTCGAACGCCTTAGAGAGGAGCTATATCTTCTCCCTGAAGACGGAGACATAGTCAGCATCCGAAACACTGTAGACAGGTCATAATATTCTAACATTATATTTTATTTAATGTATCACAGTTTAAATCAAGATTCGTTTGCTTCTAATAGGCCAAAGGCTGATGTGTCGCCCCGAGGATATTACTTGAAATAAACTTAAAAAACATATAAAAAGTCTGTACTATAATAAAATCTTTCATCACTCAGCAAATGTTTCAGTTGCAGTAAATCCGTACTGTAAACATTAAATGAATCGATACTCGAAAAAAGCTTCCGACTGACTCAAAGTATGGTAAGCTGTCGGTCGATATTAGTCGACTCTCAACACGTCGTGTCTCGTATCCTGTGTTATTTTTTAACATCGATGTTTTCACATCCGCTGTCGATTTCCTTTATCTATCGACCTTTTAATCGCCCTGCGTTCGTTAGTAATTCTACAGAGCGTGTATTCCAGCTTCAGTCTATCGTCAACACTGACAATTTTTACCTTGTTTATTATTTCATTATATTTGTTTTTCCATATTTGGGCGAAGGTGTTGTTTTTCTTAAATGTTATTAGATGTACATATCGGCCAAAGATGTAGGAGTGAGTGTCCCGATATGTCCAGAAGTAATATAATAGTATAATATAATGAAACATCACCAAAAAACTACAGAAATCATAATTGAGTTTTAAGCTCTTAGATATATTTTACACCTGATGATGGTTTTATAAAAACTGAAACATGTTGTGTAAATGTTCCGAAATGTAAATCGATCAATCGATAAGGAACATGAATGATATTTTATTATCTTAATTTTAAGAAATTTTAAATAAAATTATATTGTGATCAGACGGATTAAAATAAATAATTGATATAATATTCACAATATGACGCAATTACACTATCTTACTTATAGGTTATTTAATATCCGACCTGTCAGATGGCTTACTACGTAAAATTACTTCTTCAGAATGCATTACAGTTATTATAATCTTGATATAAAATTACATTTCAAGACACAGGCGTTTAAAAGGTTTCGGATCTCAGAATTCGTGTTGAAGATGTTTAACGCCATTTTGTATTATCAAAAACGAACTGGAGAGAAAATAAACAACAGTGAATAATAGCGAAATGAAATACAGGACACCTCGCTATTCGCGGGGGTTACGTACCTTTTGGGAAACATATTTAATGTGTGTTATTAATCAAAATGGAGATCTTAGGATTGATGTTTGTTGGGAAACAGCGTCCCTGGCTGAAAGTTATCGCAGTGAACGTACGTGCGTGAGATAACAATCAGTTCTAAAAATTACGCAAAGTACAGTCGAAGTTCATTGCAACATAATAAAGGACTCGCTGTGAAGTGAGTTCGTTTGGAGTGAGACGACGCTAAAAGTCCACTGCTTCTATTTTAAAATCCAACCGTCGACGCTCAACTGTCTTCACAGCGGTAATTTTTAAAAGATCTTATCCTCAAAGGACTGGGATTTTTTTTTTGTAAAAGGAAAAACAACAAAGCCATTAAAGAATGAAGAGTCGTGAATTAACACATGACAGGCCAGTCCAAAAGAGTTAAGGCCCCAAGGCAATCTTTCTGGGCACTACGTTTCTCTCTGATTGTTTAAAGCCTTCTACAGAACTCAGGCTTCGTTTTGTATTAATACATGAAAATTAACAAGGATTTGTACTGAACGCGAAACTACAGATCACAGCTAATACGTACAATGAAATGGAAGGTGACTGTCATTGGAAGTGTTTTATTAGACAACTTTTTGTTTACCCCTAGTCTGAATCAGTAATCGTTGCCGCAAAAGACAAATTGCCTACAAAATAATTTTTTACTCATTTATAGTTTATTTAATGACGTTTTTAAGTAGCTCAAACTATATAACGTCGACATAAAATCATGGAGAAAAGTATATATTAAGGAAGTTTGACAACACAATATATTCATGTTGAATAACTATTTAATAGTTCTTGCGAATAATTTCAGAAGAAATGTGACGTCACAAAGTGGGTGAAAAAGTGGCATAATGTTCGTAGTTTAACTCAGTATCACTATGAATTGAACTGTACTGAAATTGTCTGGGATAGAAGTGAGACTTTTACTCCCATGAACAATGCAACATTTAAAACTGAATTTGGAAAGCAGATAAAACTCAAAACAACGAAGCAAACATTTACCTGAAGCTGGCGGTAAGGTAAGACATTTAAAAAAAACGCTGTGCTCCTGTCCTAAACTGTTAAAATATTTCAATTAAATTCTTTTTATTATTTGGTAAGTGCATTAAACAAACTTTCTACATATATATAATTTTTATTTATTTAAAATTTATTTAACAATGCTATCAGTAACTCGCTAAGCCCGTTAGATTATTTCATGATTACAGTTAAATCTAAATCGTGGGTCACATCGATGGCCCGGGCCACCCTCATCGCCAGTACTTCATATACAACCCGTCACAATTCAATTCATTTCGTTATTGTTCGTGTGCTGTATCAACAGTCAGAAGGCCAATTGCAGTCACAACACAAAAGAATAACACAATAACAAACATAACAAAACAAAAACAGATTAGAAAAAAATTATATGAGTTAGTTCTCAAAAACAAATTTCTAATGAATACATCAATGTCGTTGTAATAAAAATATAATTAAATTAAGTCAATTAGATTAGAAAGAGAATAAAATCTGCAAAACAAGGTATTAAATCAGAGAATTTCTATAATTTTAATTATAAAACAATTTCGTTCGGAGGGGAATTAAAGCCGGCGATCCCATGTCGTAGATTTACGGCATGTAAAATGACCTTACGAGCATAAACGCGATGTTTCGTAAGCAAAATTCAGCGGCCATTTCTCACCCATGTCTCTCCTGATTCTCTACTAGATGGCTCTAGCAGTCAAGTCAGTACTGAGCAGAAACTGTGCAGAGGCAGTGGGCTTGTCACTCACTACTCACAAATGCACGCTTCAAAGACCAAGAAAACCTCCGAATGGAGGCGGCGAAGACTCACAATGGAAGGAATAATAATAATAAAAAGAGGGTTGTGCACTCACTCTGAATATGGCGTGCGCAGGGTGAAACACGTCGCCTGAGCCCGAACATCCCCCTTTAAGCAGACGCGACAGCAGGCGGTAAGTACCACGAGTCCAGAACACGTCAGACTGTCCTGCGTCTGCTACCCGCGGGTCACTGCAACACAGCGGGAAATGGCTTTTCTATACTTACTTTATCCTTTTAGGTGAGAGAACTTTGCTTTCAGTGTCCTTCACTAAGAGCAAGATCTCCAAATTTGTTCACATGTAGCCACATCGTCAATAAATTTTTATGTTGGCGGGCCTGACTTAAGGACCGGAAATTCTTTAAAACATAGACGCTGAATTTATAAATATACGCTATTCTAGTATTAATACGTAGTAAAATGAACTGAAAAACTAGGAATTTTCCTGTAATTTTTCTAGTATTCTTAGTCTAACTTAATTTTTTCCGGACATGAATCATAACTAGATATAAACAACAACAAAATTGTGGTATAATTAAATAAGATTAATGCAATATCGCATTATTTGTCAGATGTAATTCATGCACGCCTTGATTATTGTGTTTGGTAAACATAAGAATTCTGAATAAAAATGCCAAGACTCGTGAATCCAAGCTCGTGGGATGGATTAATTAACACTTTGGACTGCATGGGGCCCGCGGGCCGTATTTTTAGAAACCCTACTTTAGAGTAAGGCCACGTCTCAAACAAATATGAAATTGTAAACTCGTTTCATTCCCTGAGATTTGATATTTTTCAAAGGCATGTCGGATACTTGCATTACCAATGTCTCAACACGCGGCTCGCCAATGTGTTTTGAACGGGCCGCTTACATAACTTGCGAACACTCACCCTGAATGTTGATGTCAGAAAACGTGTTTTATAAATTTCATCAGTCATCGTCATTAAGACAAGCTACAAGATTCATTAACGCAAACCCGTGACAATGCGAACGACGGAGAGAACATGCGTGAAGTCGAGTAACTAACTCAAACTGATGATGGAGACAGTAAGCTCCCCTGAAACATCGGTCACTATCTGCCTGACTACACGATATAACACCACAGAAGACAACTGGACGGACAGACACGGCCAGCTCATAATACGTCCTCACTAAGCACTTCGTGTAAAAAACGTATAACTCACCCCTTGCGGAAGTTGTAGGTCCGTACGTTGCCGTCATTGTCGGCGACTGCCTTGCTATAGAAGTAGGAGTAGTGATACGGCATTGTCAGAGAACACGGAAAACACACGAAACACGTTCAAGGAGCACAGATCACACTGTAACACGTGAAGTATTCTGGCCACACGGTGGGAGCATTTTGAATACGCGAAACACAGAAAAATCTTCTACAGCTTGACAGAAACACTTGAAATTTCTGTTTCGCTAAGGGGAAACACGTAGTCGTAGACCTAAGTAGTTCGAAGGAGATGCGTACTCTAACTGAAACATACGAAAATCAGAGAAGCAGGCAAAAATATCTGTAGCGCGCGCGGACAGAACTCGCCAGTTTCCGGAGCTAAATTTTACTTCTGTTGTTTCTCTTTTGTTTCGTTAGAGGCGCTGGTAGCCACGCGCAATCATACCAACTGTCCTCGCGGTCTAGTTGTAGATTACTGATATGTGATTATGGTAAGGATTTGGAAAGAACTGATGGCTTACTATTTAAAATGATTATCCTGACAGTCTCTTGAACATTTCAATAAAGTAGTCAGGAATCTCGACTGCGGTTGGAACCGACGAACTCCAGAATATGTGTGGATAGATACCGCGGTTTTCAAACAGAAACCCTCTAGATGCTGTGGGTAGAGTATTACGAATTGTGAAACTTTCTCTAGCACAAAATTACATCCGAAATTGAATCCCAAGCGTTGCGCCAGAGGCCAGCAGCGAACAACTGCTTGATCTCGTGACACCTGGCATAACAAGTACTACAAGTATTTCCTTTGCTGGTTTCCTGGGAGACGGCTTGTTGTTCTGTCGTGGGATTCGTTAACTTCAGATGCGGTTACATTTAAGAGCAAAGCATACCAACTGCAGTTTTGTCTAGTCACCAGACTACAGAACAAAATCATGTAAGGGTAGCAATTAAATCCTTTAAAAATGTGGCAAAGTTGGTAGTGACTCTAACCAATCATAATTGCATTCACGAGGAAGTTAAGAGGAGAATTAAATTCGAGGGATGCTTGCTATCACGTAGTTAATAACCTGACGTTTAAAATCGTAAGCATTAAAATATGCAAAAACTATGCCACCCGTTGCATTGATCTGTGACGAAAATAAAGAACATAGATTAGGGTGTCTGAGAACAGCCTAGGTTCTGAGGGGAACATCTGAACACAAGAAAGATGATTTGACGGGAAGTTGGAGAAAACTGCATAGTGATGATCTCTATAGTTTGTGCTATTCACCAGGTATTTATTATAAGGATGGTCAGATTGAGGATAATGAGCAGGGAATGTAACACGCACGGGGAGTTTAAAAATGCTAATACAATTTGATTGGAAGCTTGAAGAAAGAAGACCACTCGAAAAACCTAGGCGTAGACTGGAGGATAATATTAAAATGGCTCTTAGGGAAATGGTTTTTGGGGATATAGACTGGATTAATCTGGTTCAGGACAGGGATCGCGGGCTTGCTGTTGGCTTACACGAAAGGCGGATATCATCTTGACTAGCTAGGCGTGCTATTAGTTTCTTCAGAATTACTTTGCTCCATGATGTTATTTAGTTAGTTGTTACCACCTGCAGTTATTATTAATGTCCACTAACATTAGGAGGCGATTGTGAACTGGAAAGGAACTAGGAGCATGCTGTGTGCGCTATTTCTAGACGTTTGTTTGGATGAAAAACCGCCATATTTGGTACAACGGCCGAGATTTGAAATTAGTGTGTTCTGCGCCCAAGATAATGCAACCTGCTCAGAGCTTCGTTGATATGACCAACCGGCACGATCAAAATAACAAATTAGGGAGTTAGAAATGTTTCGAGTAGGGGTCTTAATGTTTAAAATTATTTAATTAAGTTCTGCAAGTGTCAATCGAAATAATCATAGGCGCTAGCAGTCTACCTGAACTTCGTGGTTTTACTTTTCCCTTTTACGCTGAGAAAGTCACGAGAGGCGGGGTAGCTCAGTCAAAAGTGACTGACTACGGACTGGACGACCGGTAGTCCTGAGAAGGGAGTAAATCGCGCCCGGGCGTGTCGCTGACCACTCAACCCCATCTAGTGCCGCGATTGAGAATGAGCAGGAGTTATACTATATCACCCCACCCCCACCAAAAGCCTATATGGCGTACAGCGTGACAGATTTGTTTTTCTATTTACGATCGCTTCCTTCCAGCATAAGTTTATTCATCTGCAATAAATCTGATGTTCTTTATGAAACGACTTTGTGTAAATCAAGGAAGAAACATCGATTGCCGACTCATTACAGTGTTGGCACAGAAACAGTACGATTATATTAAGTATATGATTGGGTATAACTGATATACGATACTGCGAACACCACAAAAACTACCCCATTCACAACAGACATTAGGAGCCATCTTTCGGCCATTTAGAATGTATCCAGGAGGCTGTGCTATTGAGCTGTGCCAGCCCGTTTGACCACTACGGAAATACGTCATTATACAACAAATTTCAGCATTTAAATTTTGTTTTGTCTCAAAAAATATGACACAATTCTGTTGGTGTGTAGTTATGTGTGACAAAAGTTTGTGAAGGCATGGTTTCGTGTTGGAGTTCACAGTTTGGAGACTACGCCCATGTACATCTGCTGACAGATGAGACATGATTCTCTTACATGGTGTTAGGTGGTTCTGTGGACACCGCTTATTTGTTTTCTGCTTTGGAAGCTACAGTTGCATCTTCTAAAGATGGTATTCCTAGGGACAGTTTCTGTTGTGCATGACTGATAAAGCTAAATTAGTCAAATAAAAGCAAGATGTCAGGAGGAGAACGAAAAAAGCGAACTTCTAGGGGTCAAGGATGGGAAGAAGCTGGGGCCGAGTTTTATCAGGAGAGTTATCCAACTGACGTGGATTTGGAAGTAATGCAGCGTGACCCATCCCGTATTGCAACTCTTTTACCAAGCATACAGTCTCGGGCAGGTATGCATATTCCAGCTCCTGGCCTATTGTATGATTGTGTTTAGCTTCACCATGTTTCTGCAATGCTAGAATGCTGAAGGGATGATTATGCCGAAATATCCATCCCATTTGACCTATGACAGGCAAGCGGGATATTAAAGTCGAGAATCAAAGTTATTATGCCATTTTGTAACATTTTGGTGGTTTGAATTGTATGTTCTAATTATTTCAAAAGAGTTGAGGTAGCTCAGTCAGTATAGTGATGTGATACTGACTGGATGACCCGGGTTCGATCCCTGACAGAGACAGATAATTTTTTTTCCTTTAGCCTCTGCCTCCAGATCCGCTCTCAGGCCCACCCAGCCTATCCAATGGGTACCTGGTGGTAAAGTGCAGCCGGGGCATGATGCTGACCACTCACCCTAGTTGATACCTACTGTGAGAAACCTAACCTAACAATGGTATTGGATGTTCTAAGTGAATCCTCATATGATAGAATGGTTAATGAATAATGAATCTGAGAGGATATCAAAGGAAGCAGCCTTGGCCTAATTTAAGGTACTGTCCTGGCATTTGTTTACAGTCAGGATAGTAGGTCTCAGCAAAGCAGGAGTGTAACCTCCTCAGCAGTTAAGAGACAGAACCTATGTTTTCAGTGAAATATGAAAATAGGAACTGATACGAAGCAACTACAGTTTTGAATTAATGTCACTAAGTATCTATCTCTCCTTGTTTGCTTAACTGCCTTCTGTAATTTCCACGTTACAAGTTCCTCAAACTACTTACTGTCTCTAATTTTGGAGCAAAAGTTTCAAGCACTGAACTAGAATAATAACAACCAGTGT